GCCATCACTGCTGGTAACTTCTTTTAAAATCTTTGGTTTAACCTTATCTTCAACTCAACGCATCTTAGGTATCATGCATATGGGTGAACTGAAATTCAAACAAAGACCAAGAGAGGAGCAGGCTGAGTTGGAAGATGGAAAAGGTAAAGTGTTTTGGGCAATTAATTTACGTCTTTTAGACAACCAAAAAGGAAATTTCAGAGGGTGAACTGGCTTGCAAGATGTTCAACGTGGATTATGAGAAGTTTGTCGGTTCGTTATTGAAACCGCGAGTTAAAGTTGGAACAGAATGGGTAAATAAAGGACAAAATTTGGAGCAGGTTGGTCTGCATATTGAAATTTTTTCCACCCAGATCACCCTTAGTGAAGTTGTAGAAAATCTGACAAACTCGTTTTTTTAGATATGTCAAAAATTTTCTGTCAGAGTGCCCTTATTGAATTTTAGGTTAATTGGGCAGTTGGTGCTTTGGCCAAAGCTTTGTACGCTAGAATGTTCTCGTGGCTCATCAAGAGGTCAGTGCTGAATCTTTTTTTTATAAGACGTTTTTACCTTCTTTGTTCTGGGTTAAGAGTAATGCTGCGTTATTATAGGTGCAACAAAACCCTAGACGCACAAGATTTATCCCGAGACTTTTTCATTGGAGTGTTGGATATTGCTGGATTTGAGATCTTCGATGTAAGTTACTCTAAAAACTTGCATCTTCAGAGAGAAGGCGGAGTGATGGAGATGGGTGTAAGCAGTTTGAAAGGTTCTAATTAGCACCCGGGTGGGATACTTTAGGCTTATGGTATAGCCTGGGTGTTCGGGCGTGTGGTATGGCCATTCTGAGCGGACCAAATCTTATTGTATCAATACTAAGGATTCCTTCTAGATGGTTCAGTAGAATATCAGTAGAAGATGGTTCAATAGAATATTTATGAGCACAAAATCAGACTAGCGGTTGACTCCTAACAAAACTGAGGAGTGGGCTAATTGGCCTGCCTCGATCCTTATAGCGAGGTTGCCAACGGCAGGGGATCTGGCATTTGCCAGAAAACCGGGTATATGCTTGTGAAAATCCAGAAAGTTCACAGAAAAGAGGCGGAGAATACCCATAGAGGGGTTTTAGAACACTTTCGATAGAGCTCTAAAATTGAAAGTCATGAAAAAAATGTTTTCTTATTCTTGAAACTAGGATTATCTTGATATCCCAACTTTTCTAGAAGATTTAAAAGATTATTTAAAATAGAGAGAATTTACAAAACGGAGTCTAATCTCCCCATAATTTCAGCACAACTCGTTCGAACAACTTTGGATCAACTTCGTCAACGAGAAACTTCAGCAATTTTTCAATCATCACATGTTCGTACTCGAACAGGAAGAGTACTCTCGTGAAGGAATCCAATGGGAATTTATCGATTTCGGGCTTGATCTACAAGCATGTATCGAACTGATCGAGAAAGTGGGTAAACTTTGCATATTATAACTTTTTTATAGCAAAATTTTGTTTATTATAGCCTTTGGGTGTGATCTCCATGCTGGATGAGGAATGCATTGTCCCGAAGGCTACGGATATGACATTTGCATCGAAGCTGAACGATCAGCATCTTGGAAAACATCCAAACTTCCAAAAACCGCGCCCACCTAAGGGAAAACAAGTATGTCGCACAAAGACCATCCTTTTTAACTCCAATTTTATTTCTACTTTAGTCTGAGGCTCATTTGGCCATTGTCCACTACGCTGGCACTGTGCGCTACAACGTTAAGGGATGGTTGGAAAAGAATAAGGTAGGGTAAAATACAATGTCACAACTGATACAAATACTCTACCCAACTCATTAGGATCCTCTCAATGACACAGCAGTTAGTGTTTTGAAAGCGAATAAGGACAACCAACTGATGATGGAACTTTGGGCTGATTACAACACCCAAGAAGAAATTGCTAGTGCTGCCAAAGAGGGCAAGAAGGCTCCTGGCAAAAAGAAGGTACTGTAAGATTTTTTCACGATTATAAAGCCAACATCTTTTTAAATTTTAGGGAAAATCTGCATCATTTATGACAGTATCAATGATGTATCGTGAATCCCTGAATAATCTGATGCATATGTTGCATCAAACACATCCACACTTCATTAGATGTATCATCCCAAATGAGCAGAAGAAGAGTGGTAAGCATTACCAAAGAATGGTAGTTACGGTAGCAACCTTGAAGATGCATAAGAATTACCAAAAAAA